GTTACAATAAGATATTCTTATAAAGTTTAGCCTTCAATACAAATAACAAGAAGTTAATTTACGTTACAATTTTATTACATAAATTTAAAATTCTTTTTAATTTGTATAGGGATGGCAATGGGCTGAGCCAACTAGGCCCTTTAACTCACAAACTCGGCTTGGGCTCGTGGTGAGCCGAGCTCTTGGCTTGTGAAAGAGCTCGGCTCGGTCCACGAGCTCGTGATCTCATGAGCCATGAGCTCGCGGGCCGAGCCGAGTTGAGCTCACGAGCTCGTGATTTTTTTAATTTTCTTTAAATTTGCACAATTTTTACTTTTATTTATTTTTTATAAATTTGCATTTTTATTTTTACGAGCCCATGGCTCGTGGGATTGAGCCCCCTGCTCGGCTCCGGCTCCGGCTCCGGCTCATTATTTGACGAGACCGAGCTGCCCATGAGTAGAGTTTTAACGAGCCGAGCGACTCGTTTGACATCCATATCTATGTAAACTAGTTAGGAACACAGTACATTACAAGTAGTTTTGTATTACTGTAGTGTTGAAATTTTTAATTAATAGTTCAAGGGAATTTTAAAAAATTCAATCCTATGCAGAACATGTTATGTAGAAGTATACTTGGATAGAAATCGATTTTGTAATTCAATATTTTCAAGCAAGTGAAAAGCTGAATTGTTAGAGTCCGCAAAATGAATTAAAAATATGTTTTGGACATAATCATTCAGTTGGAATAAAAATATGCTTAATAAATGCAATAAATCAATTTATTCAATTATACGAAATGTTGTTTTTAATTGAAAGCGAATAACACAAATTACTGAAATTAGAGATTCATCAAATAATATGTTTTGTTCCCCTCATATATGCTTGCACTTTTATTATTATTATTATTTTGGAAAAAAAATAAAAATCTTTCCATTTGAAAAGTTTACAGAATTTATGACATGCAAACGAAGTTTCACATGTGAAATGCTTTGTATGATAGTTATGCCACATCATAAAAAATCGCAAGTGATGTGGATGGAGTTAAATATTTCAATTGCCGTCGAACTTTTTCAAATGATTTTCAATTGTCATTGAACTTTTATAAACGTTTCATAATTAATGTTGTTTTCTGAGTTACTACTGAACTTACTAAAATATTATTCCATTATTTATTGTAGTTTTAAAAAAAACAAAAGGCTAGGTGCTTGAAAATTTTATATTATTTGCACATGTTATAAATACATATAATTGGGTATAAAAATAGAGCTTTCATGCTTTCAAAAGGAGTTTAACATGTATCCTTTTATCATTAGTTCAAAATTGCGTTAGTGTTTATAATTCATCTAATGGTTGGAGTTAAATCAATACTATTCAAAGGGGTTTAGATTTTGCATGCCACGTTTGAAATTCTATCTACAATGTCATCAAGATACATTAACTTTAAAAATAACGAGCGATGACTGTGACAATATTTTGGTAAGTTTAGTGATGATTCAGAAAATTATTTAAAATTCAACAGCAACTAAGAAATATTTGAAAAACTTAAGTGCCAAATTGAAAATATTTGAGCAAATTTAGTGACAAATGAGATATTTAGTCCATTAGTATTACTTATGATTTTGGTATTGTGGCATAACTCACGGCGAAGCATGCCATGAGTGAAATTTTGTTTGCCATCTCATCAAGTCCATTAAAATTAAAATAACAAATGACGGAATGATGGATGAAATGACATTTTGGTAAGTTCAGTGACAACTTAAAAATATTATAAAGTTCAGTTACAACTAAGAATAGTTTTAATAAAAATAGAGAAATATTTTAAAAAGTTGAATGATAACTAGAATATTTAACCAAGAATTAGTTCTCTTTTGCTTTATCTTTCCAACTTCTTCTAGGAAAACACACTAATTGGGGAAAAAAAATGAGGGCAGCAATCTCTGTAAGATGATGTAGAACAATTCTTTTCTTTGCCTTATTCACAGTCTTTTAATAATTCATGATAACAATAATGAATTTTTAATTATTTCAAAATACTTAAATATCTCCTATTATATTGACTGATTTAAAAAAATCGGAAAAACCAATAAAGATCTCAGATTGTTGTTAATTATAGAATACCAATGAAAGTGATAACTGGATATTATTCCAATTATTCATGTTTTATTATTATTATTATTATTTTTTATTAACCTCTTAAGACTATAATGTTTTGGTAGTTACAAAAAATTGAAAATGGAATACCCACTTTGAATTTATTCCATACCCTATTAAACATGGAGAGTATTATTATAAAAGGATAATATTAATTAATACTACCAAACAAAAAAATAATTTAGAAGATAAAAAAAATTTACTAACTATATATTTTCACTAGTAAAAGGATTCTGCCATATCATTATTATTAAAAGTCGGTCTAGAGGTCATTAGTCTTGCATTTTTTTTTTATTCATCGAAGATCCAACTTTACATCTCTCTATAAATATGTGTACTTTTTTTATTTTTAACATGCTCAATGTAGTATCTAAATTAACGCTAACACTTTGTAAGTTCAAATAAATAAGCGTTGAAATATACATTGATCAATGACGTGTTCGATTCATGTCCATGGCTTTATACAAGAATTCGTTTTAAACTCTATGCTTTGGCTTCCAAGACCAAAATTATCAGAAATCTAGGTAATCAATTAGGGTTTCCAGATGGAAAAATATTGATGATTATCATATTCATAAATTAAAATAGATTTTGAATTGGGTGAAAAATAGGGTAAGACAGTGAGTATAAGGTAAACAATGGAGCGAGTTATTTGCCTTAAAATACGGGTCAAACAAGAATCCATGGTGTCATTTCCTTCCAGTTTAAGGAAAATTATGCATAAATTAATGTAGATCCCTATGATACCCTTTTCGTATTTTATTTCCCTCTCCATCACCACCCACCTTGAAATAACGTTTCACAAAGTCTGAGCCAAGTAATTCTTGCTGTCTTCCTGTCATGTCTTGCATCCTACTCACTGTTTTAACCCTTCTGATACCCTCTCTAATTAATCTCAATTTTATTTTCTTTAATATTTTAATATGATTTTTTGCTTGTTGTATCGTCCGAGGTACAATTTAGATTATATTTAACACATAATACTTGATAAGATTATTGAGTATATAAATGTGGTTTTGGCCAATCTTATGCCGATCGTATATTAATGAATATGAGTATCATTTGATCCTCGTTCGTAAAGCATGGATTAATCTAGAAATAAAACATTAAGTGCGAGAAAAATGGAGGTTTAAGATCAATTTAGTCATTTTTCGAGGTACAACTTATTACGTTATTCGCACACCACAACGGACTCACGGTGACGCTATAACATTATATTGTATTCCAAGTGATTAAAACAACCCTATGGATGATTAGTAAAGAATTTACCCCCTTTTTGCCCCTATTTTTTGAAAAATTATTTTTAATAAATTCAATTTCAACCACATCTTTTATTGGACCTACAAATTTTATCAAATTTTCAATCATACTTTTTATCAACTTTTATCAAAATTTAATAAAAATCCACTTTCTAACAAAACCAAGAAGGGCTTGGTCTTTCTATTTTTAAGGTATTGATCGACCAATTACATCAGTCATTTGACAAGACTAAGTCACAATAATGCTCCTATTTAGTAATTTTATTTTAAGTATCGACCAATTACATCACTCATATGCACTCAATTGTCATGACTAACTTACGACAACGCCACTACATTAAATTATATTATAGTCTAAGTTATTGAAAACAATCCAATTTAAGTAAAAATATATAATATAAATCAATAAAAACAGTAATTGTTGAAGATACTGTAAAACTTTTATAAACTTTCCATATCAAAATGTGTAGGTTAGATGTCTCAAAATCAGCAAGAACGTGGTATAATTAGTCATATTCACTAAGCCACTACCGTATCCGTAAAGTAATGGTCCAATTTATCTTGAAGGTGAACCATCATTTTCTGTGAACATCAATGGCAATGTCGTCTTTGTTTTGTATTAATTTTCATGATTTACGAAGTAATTAGTCAGATTATTATGGCAAATTTGAGTTAGTCATAATTTGTGGTTAATAAAAGGACGAAGAAATATTTTTTGTATCAATTTTCACGATTAACGAAGTAATTAGTCACATTATTATGGAAATTTTGATTTAGTCATAATTTGTGGTTAATAAAAGGACAAAGAAATATGTTTTGTATCAATTTTCATGATTAACGAAGTAATTAGTCACATTATTATGGCAAATTTGAGTTAGTCATAATTTGTGGATAATAAAAGGACAAAGAAATATGTTTTGTATTAATTTTCATGATTAACGAAGTAATTAGTCACATTATTATGGAAAATTTGTGTTAGTCATAATTTGTGGATGATAAAAGGACAAAGAAATATGTTTTGTTTTAATTTTCATGATTAACAAAGTAATTAGTCACATTATTACGAACTTCAAATTCGAGTTAGTCATAAGTTGTGGTTAATAAAATAGCAAAGAAATAATGGCAGAACCCAAAAATGATTCCTAGAGAAAAAATAAACTTGAAATGTCACAGAAGGAAAAGGGATGCCGGAGATCGACAATATCCACATATCTTTATGTAAATTTATGGTCTTTAAATTGTCATTCATTCTTATATTAAATTAATTGCTGATTAGTTATAAAAATCTTTCAGTTTTGTCTGTTTGAACACTGCGATTTCAATAATCTGAAATTACAGTTGGAGCTAAATCAGTGGCCAAAAAGTCAAATCCAAGAAAAACTTTTCTTGAGATGGACAAGAAACTAACACTGCACTTTGCATTTCAAATTGTTAAATGAAAGATTTTAATTAGCTGTTAATATATATAATATGCATTGGATCAATATTTCGATTAAAAAAAGATGTGCATTTATGTCTCTCCTAAGGCACTTTCCCACATGCATCAATGGAGGAGCAATATGAAATTCAAGCTGCTGGAAATGGCTGCTCCAAAAGTCAACACTAGTAAAGACTCACACGCGACAAATCTATACCCTCTCTCTCTGTCTCTCTCTCGCCGCTCGCCTCCTATATCTAACTCTGTGTGTGTGTGTCGTGGATAATGAATTGATGATCTTCTCAATTTCATTCAGGGTTTTCTGCAGAATATAATTTCTTAATATGAATCCTCGTACATAGACCCCAGGTCCACGAACCATCAAATTTTGGCAGTTTCTGATTAAATAATAATAGTGTGGACTATCATTTTCCTGTTTATCTTGCCTTTTAAGCACTCTTAAGTCTTACCCTTATTTGTCTTTCTTATAAACCTTCTAATCCCTCTCTCTCTCTTCCCTCTTTCTCTTTCCCCAATTTTTTCTTAGGCTTTGTAGACAGATAGTATGCTTGAATGTCCAGAGAAAGGTAATCAACTATGGCACTCCCCAGGAGAGAAAAAAGTTGGTGAAGTGGGCAAATAATTTTCTTTTCTTTAGTTTTTACTAGTGTTCAAACTATGAAGTTTCACTTTTAATGTACTATTTTGTCGTTGACATTGACAAATGATGTTTAAGCTTTAATAGAACCAGTCCCACATGATCTTTCTAGCATCAGTCCATCAGAATTGATGTTTTATTCTTATTTAGCTTTAATAATTGTTGTTTCATATATATTTTGCAGGGAGAGATTTGAAGAGATAGGCAAGAAGATCAGGAGAGAATCTGATGCCTTTTCTCATATGGGAAGAAGACACATGTTGGGGCCTCCCGGAACCCTAAACACGATCACGCCGTGCGCAGCGTGTAAGCTTTTGAGACGACGGTGTGCTCAAGAATGTCCCTTCTCTCCATATTTCTCTCCTCATGAACCCCAAAAATTCGCTTCTGTTCACAAAGTTTTTGGTGCGAGTAATGTTTCCAAGATGTTGATGGTGAACCCTTTATCTTGTTGTTGATAATTAACCTTCCTATATTATATTTAATTGATTTTCCATCTTTAATTCAGGTCTTACCTATAAAATTGTACCAGAATCAAATCGAGGTTATTATTCATTATTTTCTTTTGTATGTGATTTGGTTGTTAATCCAGGAGGTTCCAGAGAGCCAAAGAGCAGATGCTGCAAATAGTCTTGTTTATGAGGCTAATGTGAGGTTAAGAGATCCAGTTTATGGGTGCATGGGAGCAATTTCTGCTTTGCAGCAACAAGTTCAATCTTTGCAAGCAGAACTAAATGCAGTAAGGGTAGAGATAATGAAATACAAATATAGAGAAACCAATATCGTTCCATCTTCTCACATAACCTTGCTTTCTTCTGGGGCCGTTTCTATTGCTGCTCCGCCACCTGCCCGGCTTCCACCACAGCCTCCGCCTCCACCACCTTCTTCACTTCCAATAACATCATCGTCTTCTTCCATGTACACTCCACCATCTACTGCTGCTGATTTTAGCACCATTTCGAATGATGACATCACATATTTTGGTTAAATTAATTCCTAGTCTTCCTATATATTTATCCCTGTTAAACAAACAATAAATATACTGTTACTATTAGTGTTGTCGAGATTTTAAATTACGTATAAATTTCCTTTTAATTTTGTCAAATCCCCTATTTAGGAGTCATGGAAAGATCAACATAAGCATCAATAATACATGCCCTTTTCTTTCTCAAATTCAATGAAGAGAATTGAAATAAACCAGAATGTCGTATGCGTTGGCATTTCGAAGTTAAAGGGGAAACATTGCTTTTCCAGCTACGTCTCCGGTTTTATGTACTATCTTCTGTACAAACTGATTGATCATACTTTGCTCCTGCACAGGTTAGTCTTTGCCGGTTAAATTTATAACAGCTAGTATAATCTGGGCTGAGAAAATTAAGGTATGGTTGTTATGTATCCTCTACTTGTTTATCAGAAACTTTAATATATACTGAATTATATTAGATAGTAAGAACAAGAGAACAAGATAATATTGATGGTTATTTGTAGGATACAAGCTAATATAGAATTTGGATCGTATTTTATAAATTATCAATTTAAAATTATTTAAAAATAAAGAAATATCTATTGTTTAAAGAAAAAAATTTGAGATTCGACTTGGTGCAACCAAACGCAGCTTGACAGCTATAACTAGTGTACAATATTTGTTTTCTATGGCGTGAAGAGTTCAACCTTTGTAGGAAGGGACCTGAAGGAAACCATAATTATATATATATAATAAGCTTATTGGAAACTTCATTTCTTTGCCTATCTTGTGTTTTGTACTTTTCACTCTCATTACATGTGTATATGTAAAGTTTAATTTCAACATCTCTCACATGGAGATGTGACTGAATTTGGTCTGAAGTCTAGTTTACTTCAAATTGTGGCATCTTACTTGTCTCCACACTGATTTCCATGGACATTTTTCAAAAAAATATTTTGAAAAAATATTATTTATTCATTCTTCTTCATCCCTCAACATCTCATGGTACATGTTTATGCAACAATAAGCTAGGGAAACTGCATATTAAGACAATTTGCAATAGATTAAGGAAAAATTCTAACCCAAATTAGGTAAAATTCTCTGTTATTTTACACCAATTTATCTTTTAGTACTTAAGTGTACGCTAAATATCTTCCGTGGCTATGACAAGCTATGAACACTAGATACAGAAACTTCTCTGTGAACTAACGAATGATTTAGCTTCCTTTCAGTAAATTTATAAATGATTTAGAAAGATTAATGGTTAGATAAATAGTTATTGGTTTCACGAAATCAGTAATAAGTATAAATGTGTGGTCGAAATTAATTTTTGACTATGACTGAATATTTCAACCATTTATTTATTTGTTGCCAAATGGAGATTCGATGATTTTTTGGTCTTTGTTTTGTCCGATATCGGTTTTAGATTAGAAGGTGGTCTCTTGGACTTGACATGAGGCAGCTGGGTGCCAGTTGAGATTAATTATTTTCTATTTTTATATATTTATTTAATTCCAATTAATGTACTTTTAGGGCTTCTTGTCATTTCTGTGTGGAGGATTTTTCTTTTTTTCTCTTATCTAAATGTATTTTTTTTTAAAAAAAAATTTCAAAATTAAAAGGTGGAAAAGACTATTGAAAATCTTGAGTATCTTCAGTTCTCAATATTTGGTATTTTGAAACAAAGAGGAGCCCAAATTCTTTGTATTCGCCTATGAAACAACGAGTCTTTGATGTCTAGATTTCTAGCACTTATAAGAACTAACAGAAACTAGGTTTGCATGTGCATCCTGTTGAGTTGTGTGCCCATATAATATAATTTTAGTGATATAAAAATAATATTATTCTTATATTAAATAAAATTGTGTTTATTTCATTCATTGCATTTATTTACTATTGAGCATGCATATTAAATTGCCTATGGTCACTTATTGATAATGTTAGTTGGGTACTTGTATTGAGAAGTACATTGTGACACAACTTATATTATAAACATAAATAATTTGTTCACAACTAATATAGAAGGACAGACATCTTGTATTATTTACTGATTTATCATTTGGAATTGTAATTTGTCCTTATTTTAGAAATAGTTAAATGTGGCAATAACATAGTTAGAGTGTATTGAACGAATCACGTATTGAGTTTAATTTTATAGTATATCGTGCAAATAATTAAATTTCACTTTATCATTGGGTATTTTATCTAAAACTCTTGATAGGGTTATGCATGTCTTTCTGTGACTTTAATGGTTCTTTGATTTACCAATGTATGAAATCAATTTAATTGCTCAAATGTCTCGGTGAGTTGGGTACTTGAGAATGAGCGAAATACACAACATGAACTCGTGTGAAGAATCGTTGCCTTGAAATATGGGTAGAGTGACAAGTTTAAATTTTGTTTAAAATATTATCATTCTTGATACTATAATAAATAGATTTATTTATGACAACGCTTTTGATGCTATGATTATCGTCCATATCTTTGAATACCGATATTTCCTTGATTAATTTAATTTTGATTAAATTTTTTAGCATGAAAATATCATAATAATTAAATTGTGTGTTAATTTGATTAATATGAACAATTGATAAATATTTAAAATTAAAATTCATTACTTTAAAAAATTGGGTGGGAGAGGATGTTTATTTAAATAAAAATCCATCATCTCATTTAGACAATCCATAAGCAAACTAACACTATTGTCTCATTCCGGTATTATAACGGACTCCTTGTAGAAGGAACACATTGTTCAAGTTGTTTGATTGAATTTCTTTATGATAAGATCGTTTAGATTTAATATAATTTGTGGACATCCTATAGATGGTGAAATTAATTTAAGATATCTAACGATCTAGATAAAGGTTACACACTCAAATCGAAATTATTTACAAATCTCATATAGAAGCTCTCATTTATGATCTGGTGACCAAATAAAATGATATTAGGCTTAACATAGACATTTGTCATCAGACATAATTTGTCTAATGGGAAGACCTTAGCTTGATCAATAAACACATTAACCTTCTATAAAAGAACCTATTGGATTATAAGGATCCAGTTTTCGTTATATTATTGTAGTTAAATGGATTTACATATGTATTCAAACATTATATGCTAAGTTATTATTCAGAGCATTTTTTGTTATTCTAAATAAAATCAACTTGTTGGGGACAATTATGTGGACCGAAAAATTGAGGAAGACTGTACAGAGGAACCTACTAAGACAACAAGGCGAAGATGGTTGTGTATGATAAGTGGATCATAGCTGAGAAGATAGCTCGCCGTTACATTTTAGCATCAATTTCAAATGTGTTATAGCAAAAGCTTGAAAGTCGAGTGGCCTCTCTTGACATACTATAAAGCTTAAAGGGCATGTTTTAACATTAAAGTAGGAGGGCTCATTTTGAGGCCATTCATACCTTAAAAAATATCTGCATGAAATCAAGAATGCTTGTGAAAGATCATATGTTGTATATAATTGCATACTTCAACGTGGGGGAGAATATTGGTACAGTTATTGATGAGGAAACTCAAGTTTGATATGATATTGAATTCTTTGTCTAATGTGTTTTCATAGTTTACTATGGACTATCACTTGTATAAGATGGATATTTTATTAGTTGAGGTGATGAACGAGTTACAAAATATGGGAAGTGGTCTTAAGGTTAAGAGTGACCATGCTCATGCGACAATTGCTAGCTCTTCTGGTTCCAAGCCAAAAGGTGAAATTGGAAAGAAGTAGAAGAGATTTAACTAGAAGTCGAATAGCTACAAAAGGCCCAAATCAGATGGAACTCAAGATGTAAGCCACTATGTTCGCAAAGGACATTGAAAGAAAGACTACTTGGATATACTAGCTAAAAAAAGGATGCCAATGAGTTTTTCATTGTCGAGTATTGTTTGGTGGTTGATTTTACAAATTTCTAGATTGTGGACTCTGGAGCCACTAATCATATATGCATTTTAATGAAGGTGATTTAGGAAAGCAGAAGACTTAGTGAGGACCAGTTTAAAACAATTATCGGCACATAAGTTATAGTTTCAACCAAGAGCTGTAAAAGTAATTTACTTTTATATCAGTAGTGGTACGAGTATAATTCTTAGAGACTGTTATTATGCCTCACGAATGAAGCGAAATTTGATTCCAATTTCTGTTTAATAGGACATGATTATTTGGTAAATTTTGCACATGATGTGCTTTACATTTAAATAATAAAGATCCTATTTGTGCTGGATATTTGATTAATGGTCTTTATATTTTAAATTATTCCACAAACGAAATAAATGTTACTTCTACAAACAATAGACAAAAGTCAAACCATACTTGCACATCTATGACTTCTTAGACACATTTACCTATCTCATTTTGGGGATATGCACTGGAAACAATAACTACATTCTTAACTTATTTTCTTCTAAGTATGTTCTCAAGACTTCTTTGGAATTGTAGAATGGGAGCAAGTTCAGCTTGCATCACATTCAAATTTGGGGATATTTGGATCATGCGCCAAAAGAAAATGTAGAAATATTGGAGTTTAGGTCAGAGATATGCCTATATGCGATATATCCTAAAGTTATCAGGGGATATTGTTTTTATAGTTCTCTAGATAGGAAGGTGTTTTCTGGCATAAATGCAACATTCCTAGAGGATAAGTATAACACCAATCAATCTAAAAGCAAAATTGTGTTGGAAGAAATGAATAAGAGTAATTTTACCGCATCGATTCTTGAAACACAATCTTGTGATAATAGCCTTTGGTGTAAGAGATACCTAAACAATGTGATTTGAGTGGGATAAATGAGTTATCATCTAATCTCACATATCATGTAAACGTTGAAGGTAGTGAGGAGATAATGAGTTCATCTGATGGGGATACCAACATTGATACAAACATTACAATTCTAAAAGATGCCACAATCTAGGATCTAATGCCTCTTAGACAAAGTCGGAGGGTCATCAAACCACCATTTAGGTACTTATTGGTTGGAGAATCCAATCAGGTGATTTCTACAATGCAAGTTGAGGATCCAACTTCATATAAAGATGCTATGAATGATATTGATGTAGACTTATAACAACCAACTACGAATACAGAAATGGAATCCATGCATTTCAATGGGTTCTAGAAACTTATAAATGCATCAGAAGGATAAAACACATCAGGTGTAAGTGGGTTTATGATAGAAAGAGATGAGTAGATGGAAAGTTGAAAACTTTCAAAGCAAGGCTAGTGGCTAAGTGTTTTACCCAACAAGAACGCAACAATTTTGAGGAGACCTTCTCTCCCATGGTGTTGCTTAATTTTGTTCTAATTTTCTTATCATTGTAGCTTATTTTGATTGTGAGGTACGGCAAATGGATGTCAAGATGGAATTTTAGAATGGCCAACTTGAAGAATCTGTATGATGAAACTAGATGGATTCAAAAAAAGGTGGTCATGAAAAGAAAGTCTACAAGTTTTGACGATCTATATTTGGATTAAAACAGGCATCAAGATCTTGGAACAAAATATTTGATGAAGTGATTATGACATATAGTTTTGATCAGAACTTTTACG